TGCAATATAATAGTAACATTGTCATTAAAATGTTTCAGTTATTATTGATTTACATTTTCATTTTTCCGGTTCTATTCTCAACAATAAATCAAACAACTTGGTAGGAGTGCCATTACCACAATAGTTTTTTGTGCATAAGCCAAATTTGACAGTCCTTTTTTTTATTACGCAGGCAAAACCTCTATTTACAGACGTTCGCGTCCGTAAGGGGCACACCAACGAACGGATATCACAACTAGCCTCTCGCACGTCTCACGGGTGCGAAACGGAAGAGCCATTAAGCAGTCCGCGCGGCTTACGAGCGCTTGTGGCATACTGTCCACTAAAAACCCTGGGAATACCCTCTACGCTGTTAGGTGCATAACCGCGAGATCCCCGTTGAGGGACTTCACCGCACCAAAGTTGACAATCCCAGCGCGACCGCCGAGCGTAGATGTGAAATGTTAAGTACATACAGGAGTTTGACTTCTGCACTGTCTATTTTGTGGTTCTGACACTAATTAATTGCGCCTTTCAACGCACACTGAGACGGGCCGGCCGTATCGCAACGCATATCACCACCGCAACAATACGTCTAGCACTCTTTATGGGCTGTTTTTTTAGTGTGTATGCTGTTGGTCGCAGATGACCTTTACAGCGTCACCGGGTTTGGCAACGGTGGGCCTCAAGCCGAGAATTAGCGAGTGCCTCTAGAGGTATTCCAGGCGGATGGCATCTCCCCACGGGAGGAGTCTGCTCTCCGTCTGGAGCCTCTAGACCATTCTTGCTAGGCGTACGCCGCCGGTGCGTTGCGATGTGGCCCGATACCGCGCCTGTAGTGTGCAATAGTTCATATAAAATGTACGAAAGTGCGATTTTTGTTAGGGAGATTTTTGGAATGCATGTCGTAGTATGCGCGAGCCTTAAAATAATACACCTTTTGGTGTTGCTGTGTTGCTGTTGGTGAGTAACGTCCAAGGTTCTACGGCGTAGAGAATTGTTTTTAGGCCAGCAAGGGTAAGGATGGTTGTAGCGGCACACTTTTCTTGACTTCTAGACTTCCCCCACGTCTTAGTGTCGCCGCACACGGGCCACCGACCACAACCACTGAACGCCGCCACCGGCATATTTCTTGTAGTTTTCATACATTTTATATGGACTCGCCACACACGGTATGCCGGTGGCGGCCACTCGCTACAAATCGTCGTTGCTCGCTTCTTGTGGCACGCACCGGCCACTTAATGCGTCGATACAAAACGCCGCCACACGTCACTCGCGCGACTCCCCAACCCTCTCTCTCTTACTTTAGTTGGCCGCTGTCGCGCACTTCAGCCACTTTAATAGCCGCTTCTAGCTTCTCGTGGCGGCGTTTGTGGCTGTGGCGTGTGGCCCGTGTGCAGCAACACTTACATCAGGCGGGGAGTGTAATTTGGTACGCTTTAAATAACATTAAAAATCGCGAACAAGGACGTAGTAGCTACGATTCAGTAATCTTCGCCTGCTTATGTTCCCTTCTTATATGAGCACATACCCTTGACCTCATTTCAAATCAACTTGAGAGTTACGCAAATACCACTCGTTTGATCACGACCAAATTATAGAGGATAGCCTGTCATTTCAATTCAATTACTTAAGCTGTGAAGGCACACACGAAACCAAACTTTGTGGTGATGGCAAAAGGTTTCTAATTAAGTAATGTAATAATCTCTTAATCGTACACGCAACGCTACATTCGAGTGAAAATCCGATGAGCGCTTATTTAAGATTTTCCCGTTTTAAATGTGTATAACCTGCCTTTTGTTGGTTTTTGGTTTACTTAAGTGACCACGGAACCTGAAAATTTATCCTACTAATATTATAAATGTGAAAGTTGGTATGTTTGTTTGTTTAATTGAATGTTTGTTATTCAATCATGCAAAAACAACTTAATTATATAATTTTATGACCTGGATTGAGGCAAAGGTTATTTTATATTTCGGAAAAATGTTAGGTTAACGGGGACGAAGTCGCGGGCGGCCGTTAATCTTCTAATATTATAAATGTGAAAGTTTGTATGTTTGTTACGCAAAAACTGCTAAACGGGTTTGAATGAAATTTGGCACGCAAATAGTTTATGACCTGGACTGAAATATAAGAAGAAGAATTTTTATTCCGAATAAAAGATAAGTTACTGTATAATAAGGGATTCTACAAAAACTTAAGTTAACGCGCACAATCTCGCGGGCGGCCGCTACTATTAAATAAATCTTTCATTAGCTTCACTCTGTATCCCTCATGGGCTAAAAGAGCATCAAAGCCCAAAGGTCTCTCTCATCAAAGAGCGACCGCGCGAGACTAATAGATGTGAGCAACTTTGCCCCGCGAATTCGTCTGCGTGTACTTTGGATAATCAAAATTTCCTGAAAGGGAACAAATGTTAGGCAAAGGACAATGGGCAAAAAATACCTAACTCCGCCAACAAATCACATAATTAGTATGAATCGAAAGATCTATGCAAAATTTGCCTGTTTTATTATGACACATATGCACACTATATGCATAGTTAAATAATTCTATTGGAGCAATCTGGTTTAGTAGTTCCGTCAATTCAATTCAAATTCTTTATTTGCCATTAAATAGGGTGGGTACATTGAAATGTTCATGCTAACAAAAATACAAAGGTAGCTTTAAGCCTATTGAGCCATATGACAAATGGCAATGCATAATAGCATGCAAAAGGAATATTTCCATTTGTATTTGTAAGAAAAACAATAATAAAATAAAAATACAATTTTATTAATAATCCGTAATAAGGAAAAGAAATTGTGTGTGTCAGCTCCGACGCACAACTGGAGTTTACTCCTTAAGTTCGATAGTCTAACCAGACGCAAAAAGAGTTTATTTAACTTAAAAAAGACTGATACTGTATGAAAGGGTAAATTAACAAATTAATGAAAATAATATACATATATAAATATATATTTATTCATTTCATATACATTTATTATAACTAATCGACGAAATATTTTACATTAAACTTTTTACAATAGTCAATTTCAGATGTGCATAAATATATCATTAGGAATGTTGATAAATTATGTAATTATTATTATCAGACTATTATCATTTTTTTAAATATTAATTAAATCAACATTGTCTGCATTATTAATTACAATGACAAGTGGTTTATGGTAACTAAAATAAGACACATGGACGTTCGTAGATACGTGGTTAACGAATCTTGAAAATACCGCATCAATGGTTGTACCATACCTCGTTGTCCCCATTGCTCTATCAGAAACAATATCTAAATTCAGTTCAGATTTTAAAAAAAATATTAATGTCAATCCGTCATCTTTGTTTGTCAAAGTTTCGCGACATAGGATGCGCACCAAAAACGTAACAAGATCATTCATCGATAGATTTTATCGATCGTTATTTCCTCACATTTTTCTCATACCGGGCCCCTTATATATGCAAATCGATTCTTAAGGAGTAAACTCCAAAAAGTACAACGCCCAGTAATTGAAATCGTAACGTTCGCACCTCACGAAAAAACACGATCAGTATAGGTGTTTTGTGTTCTGTAAGATACAATCTCACTTACGATCTAGTTTATTCCGATTTCTGACAAATGTCTTATATCTATGTGTCGCCGCACACGGGCCAGACGCCGCAGTCACAAACGCCGCCACGAGAAGCTATTCTTTTCGATTCATAAGGAGTAAACTCCAAAAACAAATTGTATACATTAATATTCAAAAGGATAATAATCAAAACTTATAGCAATACCAATACATGCATAAATTCATTTAATAAGAATAATATTATGAATGCCATTTATAATTTAAATATTCGTCAATTGAATAGGAAGCTTTTTCCAGTAACCATTTTCGTAATGATTTGAGATACATGTCAAATGGGAGTTTTTTTTTTATTTCATGTGGTATTTTATTGTATATTACATAACACATTGCGTAACTATTAAGAAACGCTTGGTCTTTGGATTTGTGTCAAGAACAAGTTTTTGGGGATATCTCAGACTTCTGGTAGTCACTTGTTTTGATTGTAATAACAAATGACCGTTCTTTCTATTAGTATAAAACTTTCTTAGTTCTTTGTCGAATATTCCTTTATCGGACCTCAAAATAAGATTCCGAATCTGTATATTTCATTTTTTAGAAAATGAGGTTTATCAAATTATCCTACGACATATACCTTTAAGTAGTTTCTGAAACTCTGTCTCACTCCACTATTTGAAAGTTAAACTTAACAACTGGCACATTTTATGTTATTGCCTTATACTACTGGTGTTATTATATTCTTAGTTTAATTTAAACTATATAAATAGTTTATTGATAAACCTTTTTCAGCTATTTCAGCACTTGCTTATATTTTTTTTACTTTCGACTTCATAGAAGCGAAATAATCCACGCTCTCAATTTTATTAAAACGACCCCAAAACAAAGTTGGAATAACAATTTTCTATTGAATATAATTATTTACCAAAACAAACGCCCGCTTTCGAAAGGGGAAGAGTCCCTTTGGATTAGGAAACTTAGTTTCAAAAGCCACAGCGTTGTCGAAATTGTCGAATTTCATGAACTTCCCGCAGTTGCTTTTGATGGGTAAAAAAAATCTTCCCTCTCCCCGCTTCTAATAATTGTTAACAAGTTTACGTGGTTGTTCAATAATTAATTAAAGTTTGCAGGCTCACTAAGATATTTAGCACTTAATTATTATCAACGGATTGGAACGTTTCCAAAGTTTGTAGTACTTCAATAATACATCATCCCAAAGCTTCTCATTATAGTATTTTCTTATCAAATATTATAATGAGATCAGAAAAGTTCCGTGTTGTACTTGCGACTTATGAAACATATCACAAGCAGCTTATTTTCCAATTCAGATAGTAGCGTCTATCGAAGGATATTTCAATTTCGGAAACTCTTTTAGACGATAGACCCGTCAACCAGAAACCAATGCAAATTATAATGGAATATTATAAATACTTAAATAAATTCACTTTTCAATTGTTACAGCCCGTGGAATATGGAGACCAGAGCTGATGATGAAGAAGCCCCAACAGACCCCGCAGCGAGGAAGCAAACCCACCATGACTATACGGAGCAAGATTTCGAAGGTAACACATTTTTTGCTAATGTTAGGTTATTTAAGGAAAGAAGTTTCACCGTGCACACAATGTTTTTACCTTTGGGGTCGTCCATTAATCACGTGATGTTTTTTTGTCATTTTTTAACCCCTCCCTCCCTCTTGGTGATACGTGGTGAGGTTTAAGACTACCCCCACCCCCTGCCCCTATATCACGTGTATTTTTAACTACCAACAATAAATCTTATTTTTATTTTAATATTTATGAAATACAGGTATAAGTATCATCTAATTTTATTATAGAAAATTAAAGACTTCCAATAATAACTAACTAATAACGACGAATTGCAACATAAAGGTTGCAGGTTGTTTTTGCCCGACATAAAAATAATGAAAGAAATGCGAAAAACTTTTTGTTTTAATACATGAAAATCATTGAATGTACAGTATCCTCGGACACGGAAATACACGTTGTGATATTTCCTGATTTTTATGGACCTGTCCCCCCCCTTTCGAGCCTCACGTGATTAATGGACAGCCCCTTTGGCGCTAAGTAGGCCACTCAGCAAAAGCCTCGCTTAGAGACAAGCTAGAAACTATCCGAACCAGTACCTTCCGCAATCCGGGCGGATGCACTATTTAAATCGATCCACGATACATCAGTTTCAGAAACAGGGAAACCGCTTAATTCTACGGGTCTTACTTAGATACTAACAATAGTGAACTAACAAGTGTCGCATATAAATTATCACAATTGACCACACAGCAAGCTATGCGTTCAGGCTAATAATAAAATATTGTTAAGTTTACGCGGTTTGGTTGTTTCATTCCCAACAAGTGAACGAATACAACGTTAATATGCGATTTTGTAAGGTATCAATAGGTTGTTATTTCTAATCACAATGCAATGAAATGCAACTACTACATTAAATTTCTATTTCTTGCGGGACTATTAAGAGAAATGCGAAAAGAATTTCTTACCTATATCAAAGACAGACAACAGACAAATGTAATAAGAACCTGAAATAAAATTACATATGTATATCATCATCATTTCTGTTCCTTCCTTATACTTACAACAAAATAATATCCTTAAAAATAAAACTACATCAAATAAACTACTACTATAAATAAACATTTATAAGAGCATCGACTGAATGAATATCTTTTTATGATTTAATAAAAACATAAACCTAATTTGTTCTGATAAGATTTCTTATTAGTAGGTACTTGTACTTTTCTTAGAACTTACGAGATAATAAAGTAGAGATAATGTAATCATCATCATCATAATCATCTTTATTTGCAGAATATGGTAACAAATGGTACCATTTTAGATTACCATTATAGATTCGGTTTCTACAGACTTAGTGATCACTGAAGATACAACATACCTAATAGAATTTACGAATACATAGGTAGTGAATTTTTGATAGCCTAAAAGTGTCTCTTGACAATCTTCAGTGTATCCATTATTAAGATGGATTGAGATGTATCGAGTTATTAAATTACGAGTAAGTATGAATTTACATCATAAAATATTAGGAAAGATATCATGATAATATGTATGAGGTGTTGACATCACAGAGGAATTCTATATTCTTGGCCTTACAGATCTTTTTAATTAACCTTCTTGAAAAAACTTTGGGATTGTTCTAATTGTAAGGGATTGGAGTCTCTGTATAAATTTAAATCGAGTGAAAAATATAGCCCTCGCTTTTGCCTGTTCTTTGCAGCACAAAGTAGTCGACGATAGCATCGGGTGTTTGAATTAACTTATTAATCTGCAAGTACAGAAATTGTTGCGATTGCCGTGGTATTACCCCTTATTTCGAAAGATTAAGAGTAAAGTAAGGTAAAGTAATCTGTGTTTGACACAGAGTTCGAATGAGAGTTTGAGAGGCGTAGGTCATAGAGGATTTCTAGCTCGTATTGGAGCACCCGTCTGAGGAAGTACCTCCATCTTACAGGAGACCACAGTAAAATAACAGTTCCTTTTGGTGGTGTTGTGTTTTTGTCGGTGAGTATGGTTCCAGCACTCTCCCAGTCAATTCATTTTCTCATTTTATGTATCGCAAGCGTGTACAGCCAGTAGTGGACGCTACCACCATCAGGCGGGCACTAAGCTTGTTTGTTAACCTTTTAATATAAAAAATACTCACTTTGCGATAGCACTAGAATAAGAAAACACGTCAATATGATAAGCATTTGTGCGGTCATCCATCATTAACACTTACACAATCTGACTAATATCTGGAATTTTGAAAAATACTTGAGCTACGAAGATGAATTTTGGGACAAATCTGGAATTGGAATCAGGGACGTCGACACAGAAATAGTTTTTGGCAGTAAAATAATCATCCTAACGATTGCCTCGTTCTACTCATTTATCTTTTAAGTTTGACTGGCACCCCTTCATTTCTGGACTTTAAAATTATTAATTTAGCTTGGTACCATAGATAAATGATTGATCTCGCTACGCTATAGCTATTACAATATTACTTAAAATGAAAATTATCTGTATCATTTTTGGATTAAAATCACTTTAAGAGACCAAACGGGAATGTGCATGAAAGGGTGTACAGGAAAATCGTGAAGTTACGTAAGTGCTTAATATAGAATACACCATTTAAGCTTCTACTTTAAAAAGCGGTAAAAATACTTGTTTACGATAAATTTTAATAAATTTGTATAACCCAATAAAACTAGAAGAAATAGTAATAATGTATGTTAAGCCAAATTAAAAATGTATGTGTAGTCTCATCTCAGGCGGATGGAATACTAGTAACATGTAAATACTCAAATAAAATCATAGAAAAACATGAAATGATCTAGCGCTGTTAACTCTCCTCGTAAAATAGCCTTAAAATCGATGGATAGAATATTTACTTTCGCTCGCTATTGCTTCCGAACAAAAACAGACCAAACCTGAGTTTGGTCTGTTTTTGTTCGGAATTTGGCCTGAGCCAATTAAGGCATTGAGTTAGAACTAAAATGAAAGCAGAGCAGGTCATTAAATATAAATCGTTGCTTTGAACTACATATTAAAAACTACCATTCATATCGTCAATGAAAATACATATTTACGATTGAAAGCATTTCGATACCGTCCGCTGTATTTGTTGGTATTATCCAACCATTAATCTATTCCATGCCACTTTCAATTTATAATTCGTTTTTTTTATTATTTGAACGATTCACCGTGAAGTTTAATAGTGAATTGTAATGATTTACTTAAATAACTTTGTTTAATCTATTATATCTACGTTCGCGAAGGACACTATCGGGCACGCCTTTTGTACCTTGTACATTATTATCTCATGTTGTCTTTTGTCTGCCAATTTTTAGAGATATTTATTTATAAAACAAGCTTTCACCTAATCTTGTGTCTCTCTATCCCACGTAACAAACACCAAAACAACCCAAACTACATTGTATGCTGGTTGTAGCTACTTACCTATTTTTATATTAATATGTATTTTTTTATCCATTACTTTTCTATGGCACTTTTTCACACTATTTCTTAATACTTACTTTTCTATGGTCACTTGATACCTAACTATCCACTTGATAGTATCTTTGTGAACCCAAAATTATCGCTCTTCCCACTCCGACCAACTGAACCGATCGACTAGAACGGATCAACTATCTTTCTTTCCTAATGGTACAACTACAATGGAATGGTACAATTACGTTAGTTAGGGAAGAATGTTTTAAAAAATACCTTTTAATTCTCCTAAATGAAAAACTGAAGAACTCTTAGTGAATGCTACTTTTCATTGTTGCCCCAAACCTTTCTTTCATTTGTGAAATGTTTAAAATAATATTATATATTTTGCCACTTATAAATATATAAAAAATATTTTAAATTCGATAATATTGACCAAGTCAGATTTCTGAATGAGTGTCGGCTTGAATTGCATGATTTTTATATGGAAAAACAATTGAGTTATTTTATTGTTTTACGTTATAATTCTAATTTCAAAATCTTATCAGAAAAGGAAATTAAAAGTCTGTAACACAAAAAAACAATCTATTTTTCAAAGTGATCTCAAACTTTTTTTGATGTGTGTATGTTAAAACTGTCGCGATTCGGGTCGCGCTTGCTGACCTGATGCGGTTGCAGAAAAATAATTTAACATCATAAAGAGAAGTTGACACGGTCGCCACGTCAGTTATTGTGAATGGAAAATGCACCGCTCGGAGTGACGGGCACTGACCGGGTTCCCTTTATTCGTATAAAGCACGCTGCTTTCACGGAAAATACAATTTTACATTTTTTCTTTTGTTGACAAAAAAACTTTCGCCAATGGACGCGCCAACATTGTCAGATAATATAACGATTCGCAGCCTGATTAATATGGCACTGATGTTAAAAACTCAAAAAGGGCTTCAAATAAAACTAAACAACAAAACACATGAGAAATCTATTGATTTCAAAGTCCTATTTGAAAATCTAACTACTAGACACACTGTAAAAGTTATCAATATTAAATAACCATTCATGAAACAATCAAGACCCACTGATGTAAGTATACAAAACTGGAAGAAATAATAAAGTGACTATAAATGAGTGCATTGAGATATATCAAAATACAAAACAGGCTTCCAAATACTAGCAAACACACCAAAACGCATATACCTAGATATTTTGACATTGAGTTCCTGATAAAGAGTGTCAACATATGCAAAATAAATAATATAATAGAAAATTCTAAAATATGGAGGAAAGTAGGTACTATATAATAAGTATTAAACTAAGAATATATTTATATTAGATTTATTTTGTAATATCTAACAGAACCTTCAAAGGTATCAAAATACAAAGTTGGTTTCCCACACACAATAGCATCAAGGAATTTCAGCGGAGAATCAAAGTTTCCGCAGTAATCGTATACGACTAAGATATATTGTCATAATTATACCGACTACCCTTCTAATTGTATACTTCGCTACCTTTATCTAACTATCTAGTGTGATTGTTAGACGGATTGAGAATGGGGACTAGATTTTGTTTCAAGAAAACAATTC